CGGCTCGCGGATAACGGCAGGCGCGATGCCGGGCGATGAAACTGAAAGTTTAAGCAGCAGGTAATCCCGATTTGCGCCCAGGTATTGCGCGTGACTGTACTCACGGCAAGATGGCGACCGGTCCTCGAGAGCCTGTTTCGGTGGCTCCCCTGCAGAATCTCTCACCCTCTCTCCCTTTTCTCTCTCTTTCCTTTCTGCTCTCTCCTTTCCTTGTTTTCCTCCCGGTCGCTTTCATCCTTCCGCCTCTCTTTCTCTCTCTCTTCTCTCTCTCTCTCTCTCTCTCTCTCCCCTTTCAGCTTCGTATTCTCCTTCGTTCTCCGTTTTTCCCTCTCTTCGCCCTTCTCGTCCTCCCCTCGCCCGTTCGCTCGCTCACGCCGATACTTGAATTTTTTTTACCTCCACGAAGGGGGGAAATGGAATAAAATGAAAAAAGGGGGAGGGGAAAAATCTGTGAACGTAGGCTACCCCGGCGCGTCGGAGAAGTCGTCCCTTCGTCGACGTCGTCTTCACGTGCGACGAAGGGACGATTTCTTTCTTTCGGGCGACGATCGAGCTATCCTGAACATGGTGTTCTGTATAGGTATCTCTCAATATTCAATAGATCTGCGTTCTAAACAATTTCGAACCAGACAAATCATATCTGCATATATTTCTGTATTCTAAGTGTTAGTTTAAAAATCTAAAGGTGTATGTTATTGATTAATTTAATATCATATGTCATCCGTGTTTATTTTCAACCGTGCAATGTTTAATCTTTCACGTATATCGACGCAATGAGTTTCTCAGAAGCCAAACTGATCAACATCATAAAATAAGAAGTATGAAAAATTGATGAGGTTACAAACTAACCATATTGCTCTGATACTAAAATTAGAAAAAAAAATTATAAAAAGTGGAGTTGATCATTTGTTTCTGAGAGACTGACATATATGTTTGCATTGACGCAATTGACAAGTTAACTGCGTTTGAGAAACATCATCCGTGGAATAAATAAACTTTTAGAACGCGTGTCATAAAAATTATATAACGTTAGAAACGTGCGCATAATTCTCGATCTAGAAAAATAACTCAGATAAACGTACCCATTTATGTTTAGAAGTTAATAAATTGTTTCAATTTTTTATTTTGACATCCATTGTCATATCTCGTTTATTGGCTTGACTATTTCACGTTGTTTTATACACACGAGTCTGATTCTCTTCTACTTTATAATTCAGATGATTTTACAAACGGAAAGCCATACAAATTATAGATTGCTCGCGATTATCTCGTATCGGAGAAACTGAGAGGCGACAGTTCTCAAGTTGCGATCGATCTTATACTCCGAAGTAATGATACTTATAACAAATAAACTGAAATAAAATAGCTAATCGTGTTATTGACGGTAACAACACGGATGGATGGAAGATCGCGTCGGGAGGGGAAAAAGTGAGGGTAATGAAAACGTGTCCACGGAAGCAACGGCGAACTAACGAGTAAATTATAGGGCGGCTGAGAGAGAGAGATGGCGCGGCTGCCGGGCGGAAGAATCGCTTTGCCTTCGCAGATCGGCCAATCCAGATAACTTTCAGCTTCCATTAATGCTATACGGCTGTTTACCAGGCACCGCGACGCAACGTTGAGTCCATTGTGCCGCAGGACCTCGATTTCGACGGCCCTCGCGATACCTATCGATACTTCCGCGGTTCGGCATCGTTCGAATTCAAATCGGCTTTCAAAGAGACACTTTGGTACACTCTTACCTCGACGTCAAGAATTTTTTACACGGGGCAAAAGAGGAACAAAAACATTTCATACTGCGTTATTGTAAAGGAGATAGATTATTATCTTGCTTTATCAAAATTGAATTTTATTTAACGGGTAGTTTTCTTTCTACGAATATAAAGTACTGGAGTTACTGAATTTTTCCATTTCCACCAGTATAAAGCAGTTTGGCCGCGATATCGAACGATCGGTCGTGCCGGAAATTTTGTCGCATTCACATCGAGTGCACGGCGGTTTCCCTTGCGACAGCAAAATTCCCTTTTTCCCGTTTCCGAATAATCGATAAACGCATATGAGGCTCATCGGACGTGCTAATACCGCGAGCGAAAAAAATTGCGCGTATCATTTGGAAGGATGCTTCCGTCCTCGCGTAAACTACGTTGTATATTTTCATCGAATTTCAATGAGCGACGTTACACGTGCGTCGTCCGTCGACGTGCAAAAGTGCGCCACGTAAATCCGCTTATGCCGTCGCGCGCTGCATCCGTGACACTTGTCCGCGCGATATTTCGCGAAAATATCATCCGCCTAAAGCGATAACGAAGTGGCGAGTTGCATTTTGACAAGTGAAGCGCGCGTACGCGCGACACCTTGCCCAAACTCTTACGCCAATTTAATTACATCTTTCTTCTCGTCTGGCGAATTACTCTCGACATTAGGTCTTTGCAATAATCGATGTTAATTCCTCGCGCAAAGATCGTATTGCAATCTTTTACCCTGACGCTTCTGACGTCATTCTTACAACTTTCGCAGTTTTATTTAGCAGTTTTTTTTCTTACACGAATAAATCAGTGTTTGATCGCTCACGTAATGATCCATGACGTAAATACTGAATCGTGTGGAAGAAACTTCACATTTTTTACAAGGATCTTCTAAATTTCAAAAAAGCGAGAATACGGAAGCCTAAATTTAATCGGACTTCTTTCCTTTCTCCTCGATCGTGTTCTCGCGAAGTTTTCATTGCGTGAACGATGTCGTTTAGGAATTATTTTAAGCAAATCGCGCGATCGTATATTTACCGTCGCGTGGCTGATGGGGAATCGAGCGATCCGTCGCGTTAAAACGTGGTTCCGCGCCTTTCGTGACAGCGCATACGTGTCATCCTAATATATTCGAAAGAATCCGTCGCGTGTATCGCGACGATCGTTCTGACATCTCTTTTGAATAATATCCTTTGAAAGGTACGGGGACACGAGGGGAAGCGGGAGGGGAGGGCAGGAGCAATTCGTATTCGGTTATGTGAGTATCTGGTAAAAGATCCGAGAGACACGGCACGTTTCGAAGTAGCAGCTACGATATCTCGGCGATCGCGTCTGTTGCTATTAGAAATGCTCGCGATACACTTCAGCGTATTCAAGTACTCGACTACTACCGATGGTAAAGTATATCGATTATTTTAATACAGCAAGCGCAAGCCGGAGTATTCTTTACGGTATGTGTTTGTGTATACAAATGTACCGCTTATTTCCAGTAGATAAACTCTACAAATCCGAAGAGCGATGTCGAAAATTATGAAGATTAAAAGAAAACGTTTAACAGATTATTGCAAGCGGATTTTTTTTATCCGTCGGTGCGTTTATTTTCACGAGAAGGTAATAACTGCTAACTGCGAAATTCATTGTAATATTGTAAATATAATCGTATAGAATATTTACAAAATGCTATAATAAAAGAATTTATTGTTACACGCATATATATGTATGTTATAATCGATACAGAGACAACTTAACAAAAGTATTAAGATATCAATTGTTTTTTAGTACAAACGATCGAAGACGACAGGTTTTCCGCGAATTAAACTTCAGAACGAAAAAATAAATAATATCTTTTATATTTTATATTTAATTCTAAATGAATTTTATTTTAACCAAATTTTTCAATGCGAGGTTTATTTATTATTCGAATATTCGATGTCGAAAAATAAGTTATAAAAAAATAGTGCGCGATCAGATTTTTGCAAATAATTGACAAATTACAGCTAATACATTTTAAATTTTATTTAATAGATAAATCTGGCGTTTAACTTTTGTGAGTTTAAGATTATTTTATAAGTGTTGTTCTTCTCACACTGAGTCCACCTCTTCGAAAGTATATTAAAGCATTTCATTTCTATCACGAAGCTGTCCTGATCAATGTTATGTTACCCAACGCATTTTTAACAAATTATAAAAAATTTCAATTTTTCAACACAAATTTCCAATTCCATTTAATGCATAAATCCGCCGTTTAAAAATTTTGCGATTTAAGAATCTCTTATACGAGAAGTCATTACGTTCCTCATTAAAGCCTCGCTTCTTTCGAACTGCGGAAGTAATGTATACCAAAGGATTTCATTTCCATCTCCACACGTGACATTATCCCGATCAATGTCCCGCGCTATTTTTAACTCGGATTATAGCGAATATTGAATTTCATCGGGCGCACAAATTCGCTATTTTACCCGACTCTGTAATCTCGCGCTATATTTTTGAGCCACGTGAAACGCCGACGGGCGCGTGATTACGTGCTCAACGCGAGCAATTTTATCGTTCTGTCGAACACGCGCACACGGCGCGATATATCCCTCGGAAATCCCAAATGACATAACAAAATAAATGCAAAATCGTTTCGCGCGGTCGAGTGGCACTCTCGAAACGAAATATGATGCGGATGCGAGGATTTATGCGGCTTCCGCGATATTTCTCCATTTAAAGCCATTTCATTTCGGATCGGTCGACACTACGGTGACGCGACATTGTTTTAAAATCGCTGGGAACCGACCCGAAGACGCGGACGGCAACTCGATGCCGAATGCAAATAAAATAACACGTTTTGACATCGGATCGCATCGATCGGCGATTATGAGATCCGAATTTTGGTGTGACTTCTTCTGACCAAAACAGCCCAAAAACAACTTTTTACTAGATATTATATAATATACTTTATTACCTTCGGTATCACCTATAACAATATACATAGCGCATTATTTTTCAACAATTAAATTTCTTCACCGCTTGTGGGAATCAATTTCTTATTCTACATAATTTCATGACAATAAATAGATTTGAAAATTATGTATAAACTATGCAATATGCGTGTATCACTTAACGAGTACAAACAAATGGCGTTTATTTAGTTCCTTAGACATAGTAGAAGTCATCGAAATGGTGCGTCTTTGCGAAATTCGTAATATTATATTCAACGAACGTTTCACTTTCGAAGCGGTTCACACAAGACTTCGAAATTTGCGTAATTACCTGATTTTGGGCGTTTTGCTCGGCCATAGCTTTTTCCTTTGCTTGCCTCTTGCATTTATACCGATGATTTTGAAACCATATCTTCACCTGTGAAGCACACATAAAACATATAATTAAGTCTTCATCGAACATAGTGGATATTAATGTTATAATCTATGTTTTTACGTTAAATGTTCGATTTAACGTATTCGTTACGTTTCGTTACGTAAATCGAAAACGATAAAAGTACAGATTAGCAATATGATATATTCGGAGCAGATTGTAGCATGATTGGATTAAAATTTTCACTGAAAGAATCAGATTTGGTAGAATATAAAATAAAAATGTATATTATATCACATTCATAGAAACAGAGTGATAAATAAGTCAAAGAATTTCGTTATGTAGAACATATATACGCGAATCTGTAGGCGTTATATACGGTATAGCGGAGAGAAGGGCACGATGTTTGGGGCACTCTACGAACAGTTCTTTGGAGCAAAGCTTAAAATCGACCGCGTTGAGTCGCTCTTTATGTCGGAGTAAAACGGACGACATATCTCATACGCGAACTATCGCCAGGTAGGCCCTCGGATGTTTTTTCAGAGAAGGCACGCGCTTTTGTCAGACGCACTTTGAATCGGCCTCTAGCTATTTCCTATCCGATGCTTCTAAGTCCGTAATCCACGGTTAAAGGACTGTGTTATTTCTTCGAGGGGAATTTAACGCCTCGTTCACTTTATGCGGATACTCAATGCCGAGGAGGGAAATAGTACGAATTTTACATATTATTTATTAGAATTATCAGAGAGTCTTGACTCTATTGTGCGCACTTTAGACGAAGATCTCGAAAACAATCTCGTGGAATTGCAATATTAACAGCAATAATAGGTGTTTGGAAATTTGTCTTTGAATCCTACCCCAAAATATACCGTGTGTCTCACATTTATTACGCAGTATAGAAAACGTGTCTCGAAATCAACAAATGCTCCTTTAATCATTTTACTTGGTATAATTTTTTTTTTTATGACAAAGTTAATATTCTCTTGGTGAAATAAATAATCATGTGTAAAGACCTATTTTCCTTATACCAACTTTTACTAACGATGACTTATATTTTCGCCTTTTCGGTTATTTAAAAGTAGAAATATTAATAAAATACTACATTTATTATTATTCTTATATTTATATCGATATTATCTGACATACGTACCGTGGTACCAAGACTCGTTAAAAAGTTAAATCAACCGATAAGATATGTTTTAGACGATAAACGTCGATGCGATTAAGCCGCCTTTGTGAATCACGCATAATGCATACAGCGCGGATTATAACGCGTTTCTATCATAAGCAGATGTCGATCTCGATTCCGTCCAGGCGGCTGCACAACATCCACGATCGCTTTAGCTCAATTGCCGTAAAAGCAGTCTCGAGCGATCCTAATCGCACGCGACTGTTCCTACTAAAAACTCAAGCTACGCTTCCTTTCTTTCTCTTTATTCTGGATAGACCAGGCAACAAAATTCACCGACTAACTTTTGTTATATCAATCGAGATTTACAGAATTTTCCTTCGAACTGCGGATTTCTCGGTCAAATCGATTGTCTTGCGAAAATGTCGAGACTATTATCATTATTTTTATCACAACTTTCCCCTGTTTTCAATATACATTTAGTAAGTAAGCGCCAAATTAAGAATCAAGCGAATTGAATCTACTTGAAACTAATATGAGAAACACAATTTTATTATATATATTTAATATTCTATAAAACTTAATTTTAAAGAGCTTTGTATTCAAACGGTAAATTGAATCAAAAGAAACAAAAGTCGCCTGCTAAATTAAGTTAAAATTTAAATGAAGAATCTCTCGGATTGTGTTGATCGCCCGAATTCCCCTGTCTTGCGGGGGGTCTCCTAGAAACTAGACTGCCCTTCTGAGACTCGTTTTCGCATCCTGAAATTTGTCTGCAGGTGTGTCAGGATCCATCATCAGTGGAGTTGTAAGCTCAACTATTGCGTGTCAACTTTTGCAGCAGATGATTTTTATCGTCCCGATCCGTAGAGCGCATATGTTACCGCGTGTAACCTCGTCGAGTGGCTGTTGTACGCTTCAACCTCGTTCCCGAAGCCGATATAACCCCCATTATACGTTGGAGTTGCGTTGCGTGTGTCGGGAATGCAACGAAAGCACTTTAAGGGGTCCGTCCAGCCGACCGCGTCTCGAGGACCCGCCACCGTCTGTCTAATTCTTTGAATATTAGCGGGATCGGCCGCCCTCGAAAATTCCTTTCACCCCTCTCGGGCGTCGCCTCGAGCGTGTCCAGAATACCGGTGGTTACCCCGCGGGTGATGCACGGACTATACTCTTTTCTCTATTATTCAATTTTTTATTTTCCAGGTCGTGTTGCTTTGTACGTCGTTGTCCAACTTTATAAAACGATTACGACGAACGCATTCAGTTATCGGTAACGCAGCAAGGATAGTTTTATATGAAAAAAACAAAAAAACACGAAAATTAAAATCACAAATTGAAAATTTTTTTATACAAAGCTTTGTTTTCGAGAAAATCGAATTTAACGATTGGGAAAATAGTAATATATTTCCTATATTTTAACTTGCATAATTTTCAATGAATTTGTATCATATAAAATCGATTTAACACAGTAGTTTCGTTACGATTGAACAAAAATAAAGCAGTTTATTAAATTAGAAAATACTGAAATGATCTTTTGATGTTACAAATAGTTATTGACGAACTTGAATTATTCTATATTACTTTTTTAAACAGAACACTAAATGTGTTTATTCAAACTTTGAATTAATCCTTGACCACCCTTGAAAATGAAACGCAGATCGCACTATTGTTACACGCGATGTTTGCCTGCTTGAGACAATTTTTCAGGATGGCTCATCATTAAAGTGAGCCGTGTAAATTCATCTTAAGGAGCATTACCGCGAAAGAAAGTAATACTCGCAGCCCTCTCGCCCCGCTGTTCGTTGCGTGAGTTTTTACGTACGCTTTGTGGTGCGCGGCCGGTTTTGCGTAGGGGTGAGAGACCTTATCTAAAAGCCACGAAGAGGCACTAGACGAGGGAAGTACCTCTTTCGCTGCTCCCGTTCGTTAATTCCTTTTCTACCGATAATCCACTCGAAGCTCGTCGAGTTTTCGGCTACGTACGCCGCCGCGCGCGCTGACTTCGAGAGATCTACAAACAGCCATTTACTTCTGCGCGAGCTTACGTAGGATGTATGACGGAACTGTGTGTGTGTGTGACGTGTGGATCTTCTAGATCCGCGCGCTCCACGCGAGACTTTAATTCTTCGTTCCAAATAGATCCCTCCACGATCTCTTTTACTCAACACCCTCTAATGTGTCCTATTTCCAAACGAGAGATTTGGAATCTTTATAGAGAATGGCTTTGCTTCTCGGGAAATGACTCCGAACGAAACAGCGAACCGACGCGGTGGCGAAAGATGCGACTTTGCTGAAATCGGGACGACAATTAAAGAGATGAATCTTTAGATCGACACACGACACCGACGTGCGGCGGACGTCCCGCGATCTCGACACCGATTATCGTGTATGTCGTACGATTCGCGCGCGTATATACCGTGCTCCGCTGTACCTAAACTCGCCCGAGTAAATCCAGAGGCTGCGCTCTGTGAAAGATCCGACGATATATGAAAACGGGACGCGCGGCGAGCGGACGCGCGGCGAATTGTTATTTCAAGAGAACTGCCGTCCGTCAGTTCGTTTGTCCATCGCTCCCGCCGCGATGCGATGTGTAAACAGGGAAAGTTAAACAAGATAGGGATATATAACTGGTGTGTACGTAAGAACACGGTGCGCAGGCATGAAATTCAAGGCTAACAATGTCGACCTCGAACGACAAGCGCTTCTGATGTGTGAATTTTGTCCATTGAGTCCTAGCACGTCTTGCTGCATCGAAAAGAGTTTGACGCACTGTTCCCGTGAAATCAATCTTATTTTAAAGCGTGAGGCTTCGCAGACTTTTTTTATACGAAATAAAAAATTCGGTTATTTTTACTCCAGCAAATTTGTTAAAGAAGAGCTAAATAGAACAAGCTGTGATACGATTTAATGTACGAAATTCTGATAATTGTCAATGGAAATGTCATCTGCGGAATTTGGTTTTTAATCGTGAGAGAGATTAAATCACGAAGAAGCAGTGACTGCTATCCTCCAGGTAACATCTCTCAGGTGGAAACGTCGGCCTATATTTATCTTTGAAAGGCATGCCCCTTGCGAAAAGGACCACAGGGGTCCGGCAAAAATTTACTTTGCCGCGAGAGACTTTAACTTCCGATTAACTTGCAGGAGTTTACTCTTGTTCAGACAGGATGAAACGCTTGGCATCCGAACGATTTGGTTTTCTTCGGACCCTGTCAACATTACCTTTTCAAACTAATTTGTGAAAACAAACCTATATAATCCGCTTAGGATCTTAATTTCCAAGATGCCGCATGTAGAATTACATTGCTTTATTTGTTGATTTTCTTTTGCTGCCAATATTGTGTATATTATAACAAACATCATATATAACGATTTTTTAATACGATTTTCCAGTAAGAAACTTTACGTAATAAATTTCACAGTCAGAGAGGTCATTAAGCTTGACTTATATTTCAGTGAAACATTTTAAAATAATTTTGTAGCGGTTTTTCATTTAATTTTTGAAGTATCTCGTCGTTTGATCCTTATTGTTACTTTGTTACGAAAACAAAAACAACGTGATGCGTGAACTTTACACGAAACAGCCTGTATGAGTCTCCACCAACTATGCAAAATTTCAAAGTGTTGTTTTCGAACTGTTACATAAAGTAGAACCCGGTATCTCCTTACACGTAGGACAAATGTTACGAGAGGGTCAAACGTAATTCGAGCTTCTTTTCGCTCGTTCCACTTTACGAGTCAGACCCCACTCAGCACCATCCTCTCTTTCTCTCTCTCTCTCTCTCTCACTCTCACTCACTCGTTGTAACGATCTCTCCTATCCAGGTAACGCGTGTCGCCGTTTGACATTAGTTGGCCCATTAAATGCCGATAAATCTGGTGGGTGGCACGCGAAGTCGAGGGGAGGCGCGAT